TTTAGAAGCATCCCTAAACCCTAAACCCTTAGGACCCAAGCAAAAAACCCTCTCGTCTTTAGGGTTTTAGGGCTTAGGGTTTAGGGCTTTAAAATTGGGGCTTTAGGGGGTTAGGGTTTAGGCAGGGTTGAGGGAGCCCCAGTCTAGGACATTATCAGGCGGGTAGCTACCGTTGTAGGAGCCTTATAGAAGGTCGATATACCTTCTGGAAGCCTTATAGAAGCCCTATATACCCTAAACTCCCCACCTGTAGTTTCCTATAACTCGGTCGTCTTTCGGGGTTCTACGAGGTGCTGCTTGAGGCCAAAGCCGATCTCAACGCGCCCCTCAGCTGGCAAAATTCCCCAAATTTAGGGTTTAGGGGTTTAGGGTTTACCTTAAGAACCCAAAACCTACTTTTTTGTAGGGTCCCTATAACTCCCATATTAGGGTTTATAATAAGAACCTACAAAAGAGTGGGTCTTGGGTTCTTAAGGTAGGGTCCTAAACCCTGATCTCCTAACCCGTAAACCCTAAACCCTGAACCCTAAATCCCATATCCTGAAGCCCAAATCCCAAACCCCCAAGCCCTAAACTCTATACCCTAAACCCTAAACCCCAAACCCTAAACCCTCAGCCTTGGGCCTGGAGGAGTGGGGCCTGAATATTTACTTGGAGAGGCTTGCATAGGGCTTGGTAGGGGTTGATTTAAAGACTATGGGCTTGTTTTAGTGTTGCACGTTCCATCAGGACGGTATTATCATTATGATAAAGTACACCCCAAAGCCCTGTTACAACTAGTCCCTGTATGATGATGGTAGAGCAATTAGTAAACCCCCTACGCCACAGGAAATCTATGGACACCCCAAGCCCTAAATCCGCTAAACTCCCCTGAAATCTGAACCGCCCTGAAACCCTTGAAGGCGCCTTACCTTCGGGACCAAATGACCCACATAAGTAGGGTCCCTACGAATCCCTATATGGTATAGGAACCGAAAGCCCTTTTGGGGTTGATTTCGTTCTATAACCCTAAACCCCTAAACCACTAAACCCCCAAACCCTAAACCCCGTAAGCCCTAAAACCCCTAAACCCCTAAACCCCCCAAGCCCTCAACCTGAACGCATAAAAAATCAGGTCACTGAGCCACTTTTCTTCGGGGCTTAGGGCTTCAAAGGCCCAAGCAAGCAGGATCAACCAACACAGAGCTTGTGATGATTAGTATCCCCTGGCCCCCTAAACCCAAAAACCAAATCGGGTTTATGGTCTAAACCCCCAACCCTCAACCCTAAACCCTAAACCCTTAACCTTAAACTCTAAGCCCTATAAGTATAAAAAGGAAGCCTGACAGCTCCTAACAGTATCGGTACTTATTCATGCTTCTGTATTACTAGGCTTTGGTAGTTTGCCTTTAAAGGTTTCCTTTCAATGTTCTGTAGCAAAGGTTCGGGGTGTAGGGTTTTACGGTTTAGGGTTTGAGGGTTTAGGGGTTTAGGGTTTTAGGGTTTTAGGAATTGAGGGTTTCGAGTTCGAGGGTTAAGGGTTTAGGGTTTAGGGTAGCTTTGGGAAGAATTGCATCGGAAGCCCCAGATAAGACTCAGGGCTGAGGGGTTTCGGGTGTAGGGTTTTTGGTTCGGGTGACAAGATTGCGCCCTAAACCCTAACCCCCTAAACCCTAAGCCCTAAACCCCTAAAACCCAAAGCCCAAAACCCCTAAACCCTAAAGCCTAAACCCCTAAACCCCTAAACCCTAAGCCCTAAGCACCTAAAGCCTTCAGCCCAAAACCCCTAAACCCCTAAACCCTAACCCCTAAACCCCTAAACCCCAAGCCCTAAATCCCTAAAACCCTAAGCCCAAAACCCCTAAACCCTAAAGCCTAAACCCCCAAACGACCGTGCCGATTTGGGGCAGTCCCCATAGGTTAAGGAACACCGAATTGTGACGCATAGCCGTCTTATGGGCTAGCCCACATCGTATTTGTTGTATGTAGGTTAAGGGGCGCCGAATCGAAGTGGACATTCGCACTGTGCTGATGTCCGTTTCATCCTTGAGCTGTCTGTAAGCAGTGAAAAGGCCTAGGCCTAAGCATTTTTCTCCTGGCCGCCGCACGGCACCGCCGTGCCGTTGCTGCGGCGCAGCAGCTCGCTGCGCAGCAGCTGGCTGCGAAGAAGGCAGTGTCGACATGCTCCTGACGTTCAAGGATGCCCTGCAGCTGGTAGATTGCCGTTTGCAGCATTTGATGGAGATCTACTTGAACCTATAAAGGAAGCCGTAAAGGAAGCTTCAAAGGAAGCCTTACAGGAAGCCTTATAGCAACCGTTTAAGGAACTCTTAGGGTTTTCTCAAGTAGAGCTAACTTAAAGGTTTCGCCTGGGTTTAGGGTTTAGGGTTTAGACTTTGGGGTTTAAAGTTTAGGGTTTAGGGCTTTTAGGGTTTAGGGTTCACTGGGCCTTGGCAAAACAGGTGTCGGCTCCCATGCAGGCACCGAACTTTGTGAACTTTACTTCTGGCCTCAAACCTTATAAACCCTAACCGTAAACCCCTAAAGCCCTAAACCCGTAAATCCCTTGACCCTAAACCCCTAAACCGCTAAACCCCTAAGCCCCTAAATCCTAAACCAAACCCCTAAATCCTAAACCCAGGAACGCACCCACTGCCGGTCTCACGCCGCTCTCCGGGGTTGCTCCGATGGCCACTCCAGAGACAGCAACTAGGCTTAGGATTTAGAGGTTAAGCGCTTGAGGCTGTCGTAGCGACTTGTAGCGACTAGAGTTTCTAGCAAAGCTGTTCGATGGGAAGGCATCTAAAGCCAAAGCGGTTGCTAGTTCAATGAGGCGGAGTGAGTCTCGGCACTATCAAAGGCACAACTCCAATCCGAAGCCAGGGGAACCCACTTGGGGGAAGGGGTCCTCGAACCCTAAACCCATCAACCCCAAACCCTAAACCCCTAAACCCTAAACCCTAAACGAAGGTGGTGTTAGATGCTACCCTGGTACTCGGCGCCGAAGCCTCGAACCCTACTTGCCAACGCCCGGGACCCGAAATTCCTAAATACCCCTGCCGAGCCTAGCTCCGTGCTACCCTACCCTGAAGGATGTCTCAATCATTGTATCGACAGTCCTGTAGTAGTACCAGGAATTGAGCACATAGTCGAAACAAGCTCAATCTATCTGTACCTATTTATCTGTCTGTCTGTCTGTCTGTCTGTCTGTCTGTCTGTCTGTCTGTCTGTCTGTCTGTCTGTCTGTCTGTCTGTCTGGCATGCATGTATGGATGGATGTATGGATGCTTTGATGTTATGGATACAGGGTGGATGTTCGGATGCAGGGTGGATGGGTGAATGTTGTGATGTATGGATGGGTGAGTTGATGGATGCAGACACAAGTATGTGGTTGGTGTGGTTCTTAGTTGTCACCTGACAGCAAATGTCAAGTCGGAGGTCTCAGCAATGCTTGCGGCGAAGAGCGATGTGAACCCCAAGAAGCTGTGGCGTCTCGGGTGCAACTGTGAATCCATTGCATTGGGGCTCGGGCTTACTGAAAGGGTGAGGCGACTTGGGTACAGAGGGTGCTACCATCAGTTTTGCTTTTACTCACTAAATCCCCCATTCTCCAAGAAGGGTTTTGGGGAGGATTCCGCTTGGATTTAATTATGCAGTGTCAGAGCGGCTGGGTTTTGGAGTCGTCCTGTTACATACTCCTTAGGGCACCCACGCTTAAACCTGGCTTCAAATGATTGCGGCCCCTGCATTTGACCCATATAGTGGTACCCCTTACAGTATCTCTCTAGCTACCCTACCTATAGTCTTCATTGTATTTCCTTTTTGTGGTTTAAGCAACTACGCATTCGGGATCCTTTAAAGTAACCCCAGAAAAGGAACTACAATCTACAATGGAAACCAGCGATCAGGGACCACTAAACCCCAATCCCTGAACCCGCACCCTAAACCTAAAACCTAGTAATTAACCCTAAACCCTAAACCCTATAAAACCTGAAGCCTGAACCCTAAACCCTGAGCCTAAACCCTAAACCCTAGACCTACACCCTAAAACCTAAATTTGAACCCTGAACCTTAAACCCAACATAGGATCTACGGTGAGGACTATAGGTAAATCCCACACCCAAGGGTTTAGGGTTTACGGCTTCGGGTCTAGGGCTTAGGGTTCATAGGGTTTAGGGTTTCGGGTTTAGGGCTGCAGGCTTAGGGCTTAGAGTTTATAGGGTTTGGGTTTTAGGGTTTTGTAGTTGGAGGGAAGGTCCATGGTCAGTTTTTGAGAAGCTGGGGCTTCGGGGCTTCAACTCAGGATTTTCGAATTCGGTTCTGGAGCTCAGTGCCAGTTCTCCTAGGTAGTATTAGGGCGACCCCTTAAAGGGGACCCTTGTTATCCCTACTTTGGCTCTCGTACAAGGGATCTTGCTGAGAGGGTCTATATCCCTAAGGGTCCCCCCTCATCCTAACTCCTGCAGTTAGTGTTAGCACAGAGCTTGGGGTGCAGGGCTGGTTTTGTGCTTGATTAAGGTTTAGGGTTTGGCAAGTTCGACCCTTTGGGTCATCCCAGGAACAGCCATGGGTTTAGGGTGTAGGATTTAGGTTTTAGGATTTAGGGTTTAGGGTTTAGTGTCTAGGGTTTAGGGTTTAGGATTTAGGGTTTAGGGCTTAGGGCTTAGGATTCAACCTCAGACTTCAACCTAGCAGCCTGTTGTTCCCTACGACTCCATGTGCCCAGATTCTACACAAACGGGGTTCCTATGTGGGTGCGTTCTACACTATAGCGGTACCTGGACCTTGAACTACGGTACCCAAACCTACTGTTGATAGGGTCTCAGAAATGTTTATATTTACTGCTTAGAAAAGAGAAGATAAGAACCTACAAGCCAGGCAGGTTCTGGTAGTTTAAGGTATCCGAGATCCTAAGCCCTGAACCCTAAACCCTAAACCCTGAACCCGAAACCCTAAACCCTAAGCCCTGAACCCTAATCCCTGAAACCTGAACCCTAATCCCTCCCATAACCCTAAACCCTGAACCCATAACCCTAAACCCTGAACCCTGAACCCTGAACCTTAAACCCTAATCCCTGAACCCATGACCCTAAACCCTAAACCCTGAACCCTGAAGCCTAAACCCTGAACCCCAAACCCTGAACCCCAAACCCTGAACCCCAAACCCTGAACCCCAAACCCTGAACCCCAAACCCTGAAACCCAAACCCTGAACCCCAAACCCTGAATCTTA